GGAAGGAAGGAAGGAAGGAAGGAAGGAAGGAAGGAAGGAAGGAAGGAAGGAAGGAAGGAAGGAAGGAAGGAAGAGAGAAATCCCACAGGTGAGACTCAATAATAACATCTTCTGGACCAGAGTGACCTCCAAACTTGGCAACTTTAAGACTTGTAGTTTTCAACTCTCAGAATTCCTCAGTCAGCCAATTTTAAGCAAAAATGGTCAAGTATTTACATTTAGATAATTACCAAAAAAAAAAAAAAAACCCCAGGTCAATCTTAACAGGGAGGTTTGGGGTGGCTACTGTGGGTCTTTCCTGCTGGCTGGGAAATTTGGTGAGTCCACGAGTCTTAAAGCTGCCTCCTTCTATCAAGAACACCAGAAGAAGAAGAAAATTGGCCTTGGAAGTGGCCCTTCGGAAAAACGAAGCTGAAGATGACCTTCAGGCCTGCTATGATGGCAGAACGCTGAGCTGCTCCAACTTCGCTTGGCTTGCCAATCGCTAGCAGGGACAACCCCCTTCCTGAGAGATCTAGCGGATCTACCCACCTGGCATCAAGGAACCGGGATCTCAAGATCATGACCGCTTCACAAGTGCTTTGCTTGAGCTGCATCTGGATGGAGCTGAATTTCCGGTGGATTATGCCCACCATCCTTTCAATCTCTTTGGGGGAAATGGGCCTGGTTCGGCTCTGTTCGCGCAGGAGGTTCATCACGTGGGTGGTGAATTCGTTGCACGCCTGCAGAGAGAGGTGGGGGGGAGGAGAGGAGAGAGTGAGGAGTCCTTGGGGGAAAAACTCACCACAGCCTTACTCCAAGTTCAGAAAACAACAACCGCCGTCCTCCAATCATCTGCAACGCAGCCCAAAGTCAACCACAGTTAGGACACGGGAAGCTCAAACATGCGATGAACGGTTGCAGGAATGAACGGATGTCAACTCATAAAACATCCCCATGTCTGTTTTAGTAGTTGCCATTAAAAAAGGGGGGGGTGGGGGGGGAGGAAGGAAATCTGGAAGAGCAGTGCAACAGTTTGAAGTACATTCCAACTCTTTATCTTTAAAAGATTGTAACTAAACTACCAGAGCTTTTGCCCGTGAATATATTTGATTGGAGAACGTGAATGATGACACCCAGCCCGTGAATGTGCTCAATTGGAGAATCTGATTTATGACACACCCAGAGGGGAGGGGGAAACAGGATCACAGGGGACTGCAAATGATCTAGGCCAGAGTTGGCAGCGCCAGTATGAATCCTCTAATAAAGTTTTTTGAAGTTTGGCTCGAGAATCATGATTTAATTAGGGTGCTTGCTGGAATCCTGACGTGGCGTGGCTAGTCTAGTGAAGAGAAGGACCAGGGGAAATAGGATAGCGGTCTTCCAATACTTGAGGGGCTGCCCCAGAGAGGAGGAGTGGGGTCAAGCTGTTTTCCAAAGCACCTGAAGGCCAGACAAGGAACAATGGATGGAAACTGAACAAGGACTGAACCCACAACATGCTTACTCCAGGTCGTTCCACAAACTTCTCACTTAGCAACAGAAGCGACAGGCTCAACCGTGGTCATAAGTCGAGGATGATCTGTACGGCTGGAAATCTTGATGAGCAGTTTGCCAGCAGTCTTCCTTCCTACAGGATTCCAAAAATCTCGCCTCTACAACCAGCCCTTCATCCGTGATGAATCTGAACAACTCATTTATGGAGTGTGCACTTAGCTCATTACTCTAAGTAAAATTCATTAAGTATTTACATTTAGATAATTAAAAAAACAAAAACCAGGGGCAATCTTAACACAGTGGTTACCTAAAACCAAGGCTTTTTCCCTTGGAAGCAATCAAAAGGGACTTTTTGAATTCCTGTGTCACCCCAGAGACAATACCCTAGAAAGATCTGGCTGGAAACTCCTCTCCCAACCAACTTCAGCCCCCCCACACCAAGACGAGGCTACATAGAATCACAGAATAATGGAAGGGACCTTGGAGGTCTTCTAGTCCAACCTCTGCTCAAGCAGGGGAACCTATATCATTTCAGACAAATGGTTATCCAACATCTTCTTAAGAATCTCCAGTGTTGGAGCAGTCACAACTTCTTGAGGCAAGTTGTTCCACTGATCAATTGTTCTCACGGTCAGGAAATTCCTCCTTAATTCTAGGTTGCTTCTCTCCTTGATCAGTTTCCATCCGTTGCTTCTTCTCCTGCCTTCTGAAGGTGCTTTGGAAAATAGGTTGAGCCCCCTCTTCTTTGGGGCAGGGTTATGGTTAGGATAAATGTCACCTCCACCCCTGCGGTGGGATTGCTCCCCGAGAATTATTTGCAAGGATGCCCAGAAAAACAAGCAGAAACGTACAGCAGGTTTACCTAAATCTGGAGACGGCTCTGGGATGCTTTTAAGTCAGCTGGAAGTCACTATTTCCCCCGCTGCAGTTTTAGCATGATAAATTGCCTATTGGGTCCAGTCTCTCTCTTTTTTTTTTCCCTTCTGCCGTGAAAAAAATAATAATAACACCACCCCGTTCCTCTCCATCCCTCCCTTAAGCTCTGCCTTGTCCAGCAGGCTCCTAGTTTGGGGGTCCCCTTCCTTGCTGCCCCCTCCCCTCAAAAACCCCTCCTTTTTTGAAAGAGGGCATCCGGGCACGCAGCTCCCCCAGTTATCCTGGGAGTTTCGAGATGCTTACAAAATACTTTTGCCCAGAGCGGGGGGAGAAAGAAAAAAATAAATGTATTTCAATGTAATTATAGAAGATAGCTTTCAATATGTCATCTCTATTATAGCAGCTGTAAATTATGAAGGGAAAGATTTTTCTCCTGGCGCTGGGAAAGTGATGGCAAGGCATACTTTCCTGCTGGCTTTCGTTCCTTCTCTCTCTCCTCTCCTCCCCACCCTCCCAATCCCCCCCACTGCACCCTGGTAACTGGCGACAAATGTCAAAATCAAACTCCAAGCCAGGGGGTTGGGGTGGGGGGCTGAAGCCACAATAAAGACAGCGCCAGGCCTTTGCCCCTGGGTTCAAAGGGAGCCGCGGCAAGCCGGAGAAAAGCAGCAAGACATCTGGGCTGCCTTCCTTCTTGGGGGTGGGGGGATAGAAGTGCCGCTGACCCAGATAACGGAAAAGATCAGGTTAACGTTCCCCCGTCTCTCTCTCTCTCTCTCACTATGTAGGTCAGGCACGAGGCAGGATTCCTAGGGCTCAGGAAGGTGGCATTACGGTCGGTCAGTGGTTCAGACTGGATTTGGCATGGGTTTTTTTTTTGGTTTTTTTTTTTAAATCCACCTATCTTCCCAAGGACCCCAAAATACCATTGTTTGATGGGGAATAACTGCAGGATGTAAGCTATTCCGAGTCACAAAGCTGCCTTTTGCAATTGACTGATGGGGATTTTTCTCCAAGGACCTATTATTATTACTATACACACATTTTCCATCATTGTTTTAAAAAAATTATTGGCTACTTTTTCCCTTTTCTGCCCAAGACCCCAAGTTTCTCCCTCTCTTTCATCCATCCTTCCAAGTGAGGATTAACACCAACCTTAATACATCTGAATCACAGAGGTGAATTTACAAGTTATTTTTTTTAAAAAAATCAAAATGGCGTGAATTCATATAGTTTCCTACTGGCTGCTTTCTGAAGCTTCGCAAATGTGGCAGAATGGGGTCTGGATTCCCAGGAGGAGGGGCTGAATTCCTGAAGATCAAGAGACAGCAAAGTTTAGATACTTTGGTTGGGTGAAAGAGGGCCAAGATGGGTGAGTTCTCTCTACAAGTTCTCAAGAGTAAATCTTTAAGAATGCGAGTAGCTTGCTTTAGCCTGGCAAGAGTCCGTCTGTAGGCTGGGAGCTGCTAGAAGAACCTCAATGTGTCATTTTTTTCGGTTTTCGGAGTTCAAAACAAGAGAATCACCACCAAGGTAACCAGGCGGTAAAGCTTCAAGCTCTAACCTGCTCGTATTTCTCCAGCTCGGTGTGGTAGATCTGTCGGATCTGCGTCAATTTGGCTCGGTAATCGGAGTGTTCGATAGAATTATCTGAAGTCCCACCCGAAGCTGCCGCCGCCGCCGCTGCCGCCGCTGATCCCCCGCCTTTCTCGGGACCGGAGACTCCCTCGGCGAGAAGCATGTTGTCCAACCTCATGAGCTGAGGGTCAGGGGGGTCTTCCTCTTGAGCCCCTCGGATGCTGAGACCTTGGGAGAAGGAAAGAAAAAGGAGATACCCCAACGTGTTAGGCGCCGCATGAAATGTCCCCCACTCGTATTCATCCCGCCAGTTCTTGAATCCTGCCAAATGGAAAGGGTCGCTGTTCCGCAGAGAGATGCCTTCACGGGAATATCCAGGGCTGGGCAACGGGGGGTCCGCAGGGGTACAGAAGAGAGCCCCTAGCTAAGATTCTGTGCCGTTTGAAGAATCCTCAAATCCCACTCCTGACTGGCCCCACCCACCCCAAAACAAGACGTTGGGGGGAAAAGTGCACTAAAATGGAAAACACATATACACATATCATCCCCCCGAGGTGAATACTGTATATTTAATACCAGCTGGATACCTGTGCTTCGCATGAAACTATGTGATTGGGCTTAGTTTTGGGAAGGAAAATAAGGGCGGGGGAATTCTACCTCGGCCCGCAAGCATCCGTGGGTATTCATCTGGCTCGTGTCCTGTCAGTGTGTGTGAGTGGAGGGCTGTTTGGAAACTGAAAGAGTACTTGTGGTGTGAGCAAGAAGGAGACAGCAAGGAGCCTGGGCGTGGCTTAGCTCAACTTCCACTAAAGCTTCTTGGTGCTGCTGTGAAACTCAAACTGATACTGCAACGCCTCTCCTCTGCTGGTGTTTTGCATTTGGAAGAGATTTCAGGCGGGGAGGGGGAGTAGAACTCCTTAGCATCAGAGC